TGGGCTGTCTGCTTGTTTTGCCATGATGTAGTTGTCTTTGAACGGCTTTCAGGCAGGACATCACTGTGACCAGATAGACTAAGCCTCCAAACCCTATTACTCAATTTAAAATTCAGATAAAGTCATTAGCTCCCTGGAATAGGCATTCATTTCATCTTCAAGAGCTGCTCCCTCTCTAGATAGTCAGTGCTCACTGTGCCAGCTATCCCATCTTGTGATGCTGTCCTCAGACACAGAGCCAATCTGTCAGCTGACAAACAGGGACACAGCCATACAACTCTGCCCTATAGAGGACTGCTATCTAGTGAATATTCAACCTTTGGATAACACCAGCTTTAAAAGGATGAAAAGGGAGCTCCCAGTGATTGAAAATCAAGGTCAACTACTAGAAGCAGCAGCGCAGTTTAAAGCAGTAGTGGCAGCAAGCTGTGAGATACCTGGTGCAAAGCAGCATCTTTAGGGTTTTCAGCATTTCTTGATCTTATTGTACCCATTCCATCCCACCTGAATTCCATGACCACAGGGGCTGTGGACGTAGTTTCACAAGACAGGAAATCCAGAGTTGCTTACTACTAGGCAAAAAACCAAACAAACCTCAAACAAACAGTTAAAACAACCAGTGTAGCTACATGGTGAGAGATGCTGAACCAAACATGCACACTCATTGCTGGTTTAAATTGGCTCAAAAATGTTACAATCAGGCAGATTTTATGCTGGGTCAGGTATCATCTATCTTCCCAGTCAGCATAAAGGCTGTATCATGCCTGATCTGACTTGACAGAAGTGTAATTGCATAATCCTGCCAGATCTTAGTGAAATGCATGCTGCCAGGTATTCCAGTAGCACACAGACAAGTATTCATTAAGCCAGTCTGCCTTGTGGAGTCTAGGTGGCAGGGTGTCTACAAGAAGATCATTTTCTCTCTATGCTAAATCCACTGACTTACCAGCTTTGAGTTAAAATCTGTTGAGTTGTTTTCACGCTGTCACAAGGAAATCTGTCCCATTAAAAAAAAACAACCATCTGATAGAAGAAAGTTATTATCGTGTTCATCTTGTCCTCCTAGTACTGTATGCTTGGGATTCATTTTCTATGCATGTTCACCTTATCTGGAGGTCGTGAAAGCTATTAGAGAATGTTTAGCTGTGCATCATTTTTCAACAGAAATGCAAGTGCAGCCACAAACAGACAGGAATTACTGAGCAGAAAATCCTCCCCTTTTCATTTGTCTGAACATTCCTGCAATGATGGTTTTGCATTTATGCAGCTTGGCAAGCAGATGGCTTCCCAAATGCCCTGTAACTTTAGAATAAAACTGCCGTGTTATGTGGATAGCTTCACCCATCACTGAAACACTGCCAAATCAGAGATTGTAACTGGCTGCTTTTGTGAGAGGCCTTAGCAACACTACAACACTAAGAGAGGGCGTGAAGAAACCTAACACATTTGCAGTGGAATGAGCAAGGGAACACTTCAAAAACTCCTGATTTGACTGTAGATCAAGATCAGTTCTTGGTCTAAGCTCACACATGATAATCTGCCAGAAGAAAAAGTTAGGCCCTACACACCCCTGAAATGAAAAAGGTGTAGGGGGATGGAAGTCAAAGTGAGGTTATAGTGCTTAGATTTAGTTACAGAATGAACTTCATGTGTTTTCAAGTGTTGAGCACCTCCAGCTCTGGCTGGAGTCAGGCAAAACGTCCTCAGTTCTCCATGCTATTGAAGAACCATCTGAAAATGAAAACTCTGCTTTGGGAACAATCTCTTCTTATGTGCTAAAAGCAAAACTAAAAAGTCAACTCTGCAAATCACCAATGTAGCGATTCTGTAGGCACTTGTCTGTGTGAGAAAATACCATCATAGTCAGACTCCAAGCAGACAGTTGTAAACAGAGGTCTGTCCACTTGCCCTTTTCTGCAGGTCATACTACATGTTAAGAAACAATACAAAACTCATGATGATTTTCCTCTAAAGCGTTGTCAGTTAACAAAATACACACTTACACCTTGGTTTTCCTGACCAATACCTCCATACCGGAGAATACTTAGAACTGCACACAGAGGTTTCTTGCTTAGCTGGGAACCAACAGGAGAGGTCTCACACATTTCCTACGTGCCAGAGCTAGCAGGACATACAGGATGAGTGTGTGACTTGGGTTTTTGTCCCAGAGTGGGGTGCAGATGAGTCCATACTGTTGTGCCTGCTCTGAAACATCACCCCGAGTGTTACTCCCCAAGGGCTTTGGTCTCTCTTCAATGGAGATATGCAGGACAGCTGTCAGGAGAATATCACCAAAGAAGCTGGGAAAGAAAGTCTAGTAATCAATCTAAATATTTAATGAAGTCCACAGGGACCTTCAAGACTCACTCACTGACTGTTACTGTAGCAGCTGGGAACATACACAAGGTCTAAGCAGATATTAATTCCCTTTTCTTGTTGGGTAGAGCAACCTTCTTGTTGGTGAGTAGGAAAAAGAAGCTCACAGAACAGATACCTTCTAAGTGTTGTTGTGAATCCAGGCTTGATACATGATAAGAATCAACACAGCTAAGCACCTAAAGATACTTTTGCAATACTCCTGAGACCCAGGCAGATCAAAGGGCTATGCTCAGTCTCCCAGGTCCTCAGCTAACGCCAAAACTATAATGCCACTTCTTTTTATATAGGTACAGACACCTTCCCCATCTCATCCTAGCCCCTATTAACATAGGGAAGTTAACTGGCTGTTCCTCTACTGTCAGAGGGACACTATCCACATGATCTGTGACAGGACATCACTGTAGCATTACAAGGTGCCTTAGAGAGCATGACTCTGTTTTCCCCTTGATCCCCCCCAAGAAAAAGGCTGGAATAAGTAGTCATGGTGCAATGCAAACACATGCCAGCTTGACAATAAAGCATCCCAGTCAATGAGATTTGACAAGGTTAAACACATAAACATCTCCAAACAAAGTCAGCCTGACTCATTGTTTCCATGGTGAAAAAGCAAGCTGTGTAGCTCCATGTGTGAAGAATAAACTCTCCTGTCATGCTAAATGGTTTCCAGTACAGCCTAGGCAGAAGGGAACATTAGGTGTGGGTGTGCATGCCACATTTAGAGGGGAGGGTGGTCCCCATTTGCAAACTCACTGATCTGTGTGCAGAGCAGCAACTTAGAGCCTGAACCCAGTCCACATGGCTTTGTCCTGCTGCCAGTGCCTCCTAGAGCAATTTAGGAAGGAGCCAGCATGCATAGCTTTACAGCAGATATGCAGTTAGACCTGTAGAGGTAAGCTCCTTACAGTGAGAACATCTAAGGTTAAAAGGCTGTTAATATCTGAAAGCAAGCAGGACCAAGTTTATTCCAATTGTAAGAGGATCTGACTCATGATTGTTACTGAGGTCAGACAGATGGACTAGGCAAGATATGTTGGTATCAATATAATATATTGAATGCTCAGCAGGTCTTTGTCAAACATAATGCTAATTCTGCATTATCTGAAGTTCTCAGCATCAAACATAAGTGAGCAAAGAGCCAGGGCACATCATTTCTTACTGCTGCCAGAGAAGGCACCAGTGTCCTGAAGTGCACAGAATGCCACTGGTGGGACAAACATCTGTCTTCCATCCAATTTCCGTAGATCCCATGGAAAAGAGCAGAGCAAGCTGTCCACATCCAAGAGTACCCCACCACCCCACCCCCTTTTCTTGTAAGGGGAAAACTATTATTGACCAAAGCAAAACTCTGCCCAATAATAATGCTTTGTAGTGGCAAACATTTTATACTGATTTATCCAGCTGAAGAGAAAGTTCATTTGACTTGAGAGCCAGGATTCCACCCCAGTTTGCTCAGTCACAGGGAGGAAAAGTCTAGTGGCAAAAATCAAGATCAGAGCTCAGCAGTCCTTCCTTCTGTAGTTCTGACCTAGTGACTAGGATACACTGGGTGTCCTCGAGGTTTTGAAGAGGACAGAAAGAAGAAAAGGGAGGCAGGAGTACTGAACTAAGTGTCATACATTTATTCATGAAAACCAAGATTAAAATAGTAAAAGGATATGAATGCAAACAGCATATGCTCTGTTCTGATCTCTTCTAAGAGTACCACACTCTGGCAACACAGATAACCCCAAATATTGCACAGCATAGGAGAGCCTGGAAGAGCAGAGGGAGAACACCAGCCTCTCAGTGAGGCCAAGAGGTGAAAAAACACCACAGAGCTAGGAAAGAAGGTCGTGTTGTTGCTGTTATTGCTGGTTTTTAAATAACATCACCACCACACTACTTATCATGCCCTGTATTGCCTAGAGGTGCACCCAAGTCTAACACTGTGTGTCTATTATCCTTAGTTCCGAGGCATAAGAAGTTTGAACCCACAGGTCGTAGCTTGAGTCCACCTCTGGTGTTCACAGCAGTGCTGTCTGCTAAGCATAAAGCACTTAGCAAAGTAAACACAAATCATTTTGCTTTGTGCACATGCAGGAGGTATGACAGGATGGTTACTCAGGCAAGGCAGGTTATTTGCATCCTGGGTTTTGAATTGGATGGGACAAACAGTCTCGCTAACCTAGACAAGACCTGGAGTTATTGAGCAATAGACACACATCTCAAACCAGTCTGGGTGCAAGTACTGCAATTAACCAGCTTTCTACAGCCTTTGTATGCTATGCTGATGACCAGTAATTCAGAAACTAGACCTCTCATTGCCACATGCAAGACTGTAGCTCTTTCAGTATAGCAGTTCCCTTGTGATATGCATTTAAACGAAGCATCGTTCTTAAGGAGATGATGAGAGCCATCCTTAACCACGTGCACCTTGGGTGTTTCAGTGTGAAGGACAACACCTCATCTCCAGCTTTGGGACAAGGAATGATGTTTCATGTTTCCTTTATCAAGCTACCTGATCTGCTGGGACAGCTTCCTCTTTGCAAGTTCACCCTCAGATGGCATAGCTCAGGTGCAGCAAGTAGGCTTCTCTTTTCTCCCATGCATATGCATCTCAGCTTTTCCTCCACCCCTTGCAGGTTATGACTTTGCTGCTGTACTGGAGTGGTTTGCAGAGCGGGTTGACCGCATCATTCTCCTTTTTGATGCACACAAGCTGGACATCTCCGATGAATTCTCCGAGGTCATCAAGGCCCTGAAGAACCATGAGGACAAGATGAGAGTTGTTCTCAACAAGGCTGACCAGATAGAGACTCAACAGCTGATGCGGGTGTACGGTGCCCTCATGTGGTCCCTAGGAAAGATCGTCAACACTCCTGAGGTCATCCGAGTCTACATTGGCTCCTTTTGGTCCCATCCATTGCTCATCCCTGACAACCGCAAGTTGTTTGAGGCAGAGGAGCAGGACCTGTTCAGGGATATCCAAAGCCTGCCCCGCAATGCAGCCCTGAGGAAGCTGAATGATCTCATCAAGCGAGCACGGTTGGCAAAGGTGGGTCTTGGCATAGAACCCCCCAAGGCATTCAGTTTGGACTGTCTGCAGTATGGAGGCTTTGGGGGAGTGGTTTTGGCCAGTTTGGCTTGCAGAGCTGGCGGATCCTACTTTTTATCCATCCTGTTTCACTCAGGCCCAACATACTAGTCCTGTGCACTTCAAGGAAGAAAGCACCTCCTTTGCTTGGTGCTTCAATGATGACAGGCTACAGTGAGAAAAGTAGCCACAGATCAAAGCAGTAGCACCTGAAGGGATCTGGAAAGCAGATCTGTTGCTCTGTGGTAGCAGCTTGAGAATTAAGACCTTTTCTATATGTCAGAATCACACACCAAGGGAATTGGTAAGCTCTAGCTCTTTTGCCTTAAACTTCCATAGCCAAGAGAAGTACCTGGCTTAGATGGACACAGAGGAGGCGGAGACTCACAAGAATGGCAAATAAGCCTGCTGTATTTCTGGATATTTGAAATTAGCTGAATGAAGCCCCTCAGAATACAGGGAATAATCCCATATCGATTGAGAAGAGAGGTCAAAGATGCCTAGAAAGCCCTCTGTGCAAGGGTCTTCATTTCTAAGAGAAAACACAAAATGTCACAAGTTAAGGACTGGTGTTAATACTAAAACAGTAAAAATAGTCTGTAGAGAGCTCCAAAACCTGTATGTTTGGTTTGGACTAGAAAGGGACTGTTCCCTGGAAGGCCATGCCCAGTGGAAGAAAGAAAAACCCACACCACTCCCTCCAGGAGGAGTGTATGAATGTGCTGTATGTCCAGGCCTCATACACCATCTTCGCCTTGTCTCGGCACAGACGGAGCACACAGCTGAGCAGCACTTAGCACTGGAGCAATAATCAGTAGGTACAGGCAAGCTGAGGAGCTGAGCTTGCTCTTCAGGGTGGGACAAGATGGGGTTGAGTCCTAGGCACAGATACTCTCTGCTGGGAACAATTTTCCAATGTGCTCTTTAACACTTGTCTTTTTCATTCTGTATCATTTAATGCCCTTCAGGTCCATGCCTACATCATCAGCTCCCTAAAGAAGGAAATGCCCTCGGTGTTTGGGAAAGACAATAAAAAGAAAGAGCTTGTTAACAACTTGGGAGAGATTTATGCCCGGATTGAACGGGAGCATCAGATCTCACCTGGAGACTTCCCTAATCTGAGAAAGATGCAGGTAAGCAGTGGCATCTTGGCCAGAGCCCCAGGCATCAGAGTGCCTCAGAAGCCATGCAGACGTTGATTGCTGTTGCTTGTGGGAAAGGCCTGTTGTAATGTTGAAATGGGCCTTGTAATACGTGCAGGCTATATTTGGGCATGAACGTTTTTGCACATAGAGCTCGTGTGAAGCTACAGCTGCCTTCATTTCTCAGATCTCTGCCTGAATAGCTCTTGACAGCACATTATTTCTTCTGGTTTTCTTTATTTTAAATTCCAGGTTCCATTTACAGATTTTCCAGGCCTAAGAATATTGCTAATGTATATTAAAAGGAAAACTATAACCAGAAAAAGTTATACATATGCCCCCCTCCTCAAGAGCTGCCTTTTTTTTCTTGTCTTCTACTTCATTCTGTATATAGAAAGAGAGAAAGGAGGCTGTGGAAATTTAATGCCCCTTTTCTGTTTTAAACAGAGAAGCAGGTTTTCTGTTCTGCAGAGCTAAGACCTGACCCAGTGTTCATGCAAGTCAGAGACTTCAAAGAACATTGGATCAGAGCCTTGTATTGTATATTTGAACAATGCTGGACACTGCTACATTGCTGTGTGGCTTCAGTCCAAGCAGAAACCTGTTCTGAGTTGCTAGCTGTTGAAGTCATTACTGGCTCCCTATGGAAAAACACACCCATCTGCTCTTTTTCTTTTTTGAAGTATATTTTCCGTAAGTTGTTGGGAATGAGATCTATGGAGTGTATCCAGTAGATGATCCCATTCACTGCTTGTTAAAATGTGCATTTAAAAATAACTGTACCAATCCAGAAGGAGCGAATAGTGTGGATTTAACAAGCAGAGGGTGAAGGTTAAAGCTGTGGGTCATTTTGCAGTTTTTAGAATAGACTTACTTACCTGCAGGCCCTGCTTAAAGCACTTTCACTTAGCTGTGAAAATTACAGGCTGAGCCATGCTGTAAAGACATGCTCACCTCTTTACAGGCATGCTGCTGCCTTTACAGCATCTGAAAGATGCCCTGCATGCTGATGTAGAACAGTCTTCTGCTAGAGTGCCATCTCCTTCCCAGAGTGCAGAGGGGGAGGAAATGCAGAGCACTGGCTGGAGGATGTAGCAAGAGCTGCAGAACCAGTTTGCCTTGAACAGTTTGGTCTTCAGGGAGATTGCTTCTCTGTTCTATGTAGCTTGGAAAGGAGGAGTCTTACTTGCATATGGCCATCATCTTGGCCTTTGAGTAAACCACTTCCCTTCTCACCATGTCAGCCCCCCTTTGTAAGCCAAGAAGATAATTTTCTGTAGGGCTTAAAAAGTGTTTAAGAAAGAGCAAGGCCAGCCAGAGAGAGCCCATCACATGCTGAGGAGCAGGGCATTCAGAGGAGGGAATGCTGAGCTCCCCACTCCTCTGCAATAGCAGGGGTTTTTGAGCCAAATGACAGACAGGCATCCCTCTCTACACTGTTACTGCCCTGCTCACAGCCACATTGCTCACCTCTTGTTATGTTGTCCCACTTCAAGGATCAGTTGCAAGCCCAAGATTTTAGCAAGTTCCAGCCCCTGAAGAGCAAGCTGCTGGAGACCGTGGAAGACATGCTGGCCAATGACATCGCCCAGCTCATGGTGCTCGTCCGCCAGGAAGAGTCACAGCGGCCAACCCAGATGGTGAAGGGAGGAGCCTTCGAGGGCACCTTACATGGTCCATTTGGCCATGGCTATGGCGAAGGCGCTGGTGAAGGGATCGATGATGCCGAGTGGGTGGTGGCCAGGGACAAGCCCATGTATGATGAGATCTTCTACACACTCTCGCCCGTCGATGGTAAAATAACTGGTGCCAATGCAAAGAAGGAGATGGTAAGGTCTAAGCTGCCCAACACGGTGCTGGGCAAGATATGGAAACTGGCTGACATCGACAAAGATGGCATGCTGGATGATGAGGAGTTTGCCTTGGCGAATCATCTCATTAAAGTCAAGTTGGAAGGTCATGAGCTGCCAAATGAGCTCCCTTCCCATCTCCTCCCTCCATCCAAAAGGAAAGTAACAGAGTGAAAGGAAGGTTACATGGGAGAGGGAAAGGGAAGGGGGGGTAAAAAGAAAGATCTAGAAAAACATGTTTACTTAAATTATACCTTTAGAGGCGAGATCAACTTTGGATTTATACCTTATTTTGCTGTATAAAGAAAACAAGTACAGAGAACAAAAAAGTCCAGTCCTTCACAATAATATGCAATTAACTCTTCCAGTGTAACATCCCTGCTTTCTAATGTGTAGTCTGTAAATATGAAGGTAAGGAAAGGATGTTGAGATTAAGAGAATCTGATAAGCGGGAATAGAAGAAAAACTGAAGTGGGCTGTGTTTTTTGAGTGGAGTAGGCACTAATGGAAACCTGCTAACTGCCACTGTCACTCCTGAGCTTTGGCTGCACCCTCTGCTCTTAAATGGGTCTCACAAACTTCAGGAGACAGATCTTGCTAGCAAAGAGGAAACCGCAAGGTCTCTAAGCTATTGGCCAAACTGAAGAGCACTTCCTGATTGACAAATACAAGCCCACACTAAAATACTAGTTACTAAACCCGAGTTAATACTTTTAGGAGCCTTGATTTACTGTTAGATGCAAATTTTACAAGTGTTTCCCTGTCCTTAAAGCAAAAAACAACATAAATAAAATCTGAAACAGCTCTGAACCGGGCAGCTGGAGTTCCTCATTGTTTGCTGTGGGACAGGCACTGAGAATTCCCAATCGTCTCTACCTCCTGTTTCAGTCCCCAGGGGAGATTAGTTCTGCAGGCAAGGCCAAGAGAACAACCCCCTAAGGGATACAGAAGGAGGGGGCACTAGAGGCAGACATCAGGTGGGTTGGAACACCACTCCCAGGCTCACTGAACATTTCAACCAGTGGATAGTGTTTTCTCTTTGAACAATGGTGGTGTTTATCATTCCTGTGAAGTGACATGTTTACTCTCATTGTGCACAATGTAAGCTAAGGTCCCATTCTTATTGTAAAGATAGGAACCTGTCACTGTCAGGTAGGTAGATGGTCCGTCATAAGAGCAGAGAACACTGGGGCACTGGGCAGAGCTTGCTCTACTACCTGTGCCCCCACAAATGTAGCAGAGATGACAGCCTTCACCCACTTTCCTCCTCACCACACAGTAACACTTGATCTCCTTCAGAACCTCTGCCCCGAGCTAAGAGACCCTCCCCCCTCCTCTTTCATGCTCTGTGAGATTTTTGCTTTCAAGACCTGATTTTGGCAGAAATCCCCCTATTTCCTATTTCGTTTCCTGAACACACAAACACACACAGGCACTCTTCTGGGTTTTGTTGTTGCTTTGGAGCAGCGTGTTGTTCCAATTCCTGTTGTCACTTTATATAAGCTGAGCTCCTACTGTGATGAAAAACCAAGACAAGTGTAACTTATTTTATATCTCTGTGTTCATATTATATAGAGAAATATATTCTGTGTATGTAGGATGTGCTTATTGCAGTACATTTATCACTTGTCAAAAATTAATGCATTAACCTCTTTTGTACCCTGGTCCTAAAACATTATTAAAAAAGAAAGGCCAGATCTGTCTATTTCTTTACATAGCAAAATGAAATGCAGATGAAAAGGGGAGAAAAAGCAGCTTATTTCTACATGCAGCACAATGAGGAAATGATCCTTAGCACATTCCTAAATGTGCACATACAGACCAGCCCTGCTGGCCCTGTGTGTGCATTGCTGAATGACTGGTTAATATCTGCAACATCTCCTTTCTCTTCTGGCAGTCTAATCACAACCTCAGGGCTTTCTGAAGCAAGTGGAATTGTACCCACCACTCACCTTATTCAACAAATGAGGAGGTAGCCACCAAATAAATACGTCATTAGGAAAAGGAATATATTGAAAGAGTTTTCTCCTGTCAGTCACAGAATGCTACAGATTTACCAAGATCTGAAAAGGACACAAAAGACCCAACCCTTTTGTCTAAAATCTTGCTGGTTCTAATTTTGCTTCTGTTGTCATTGCCTCTTTCTTTACGTGTTGATTACAATGATTGTTACCCCCAGAAGGCAACAGTGGAATGCACAAGTACGAGCAGTTAGGATTGTACTTGGGAAGCACGCAGAAAGAGGGTGTGAGCTGCAGTGGTTGGCACAGTTTCCATTTGGCATTTGTACAGGAGAGAGAGGTGAGAGAAGACCATAGGGTGGAGAGCAAGAAGCAATAAATGCACATTTGGAAAGTCAGCAGACTGTTACTCCAGGTCAACTACCCAGGAACCCCCAGTTCCACCATCATTACAAGTGTGCACATCTGCTAATGGTGTCAGGTCATTCTGTAGAATCTGCATTCATCTGACTCAAGGTTGAGGCTGAACAGAGTCCCCTGAATCAGCCCTACCTCTATGTAGGCATGATTTGCTGATGCCTGCTCTTACAGCACATTGCTTGTGCCAGTCCTGCCATGCTGAAATCTAACACTTCCTTAGAAAGCAACAGATAACTGGTTCCCTCAAAGGGGATGGCAGGTGAGGTCTGATAGTTTTTTCCAGAATGTACCAGCAGAGTGCTCAGGTAAGCCCAAAACTCACTGTAATGGGTATCAAATGGCTTTTGGGGCACAAACCCTACAAACCCAACCACTATCCTGTTGTTAAAACACAGGTAATAGATCAGTTTTCACTGCACTGACTGCAGTTGTTCTTCAGCCATCTCAAAAAAAGGCTTCCTGTTAAACAGGAAAGAGCAAGAGGCTGTGTTCCTGGTAGCAGCAGTCACCCTCCACACCACGGCTGGACCACACCAGAGCTACAGCACATGCCACAGCTCCTGCCTCTGCCTGGTGTGTTGTGCAGAGGCTCCTGCTCTACATCCCCACACCGCATGTGTCAGCAGGATTCGCTCGGACAGGACAGAGGGACAAATTGCTCTGCCAGCACAGGTCAAGTGCACAAAACCACTGCAGCATGGGAGGGTTCTTCCAACACTTGCTCAGAAACCGCTTGTGCTGTCAGAGTGCAACTTCCCCAGCCGTGTTGGAGGGGAAAAACCAACACAAGCACTTTAGTGACAGTTGCTTAACACAATTGCACTGTGGTTCAGCAACAGGGCAGGAGACAAATCAACCCCATTAGAGGGAACAGGGCAGCATCTTGAGAGGCAGTTTCCAGAAAGGCAGTTTACAAATAGTCCTCCGTATTCAGATAAGTTTATCCTGTACATTTTACTTTCGCTGAGCTCTTCAGGAAATTAAAGAACAAAACCACACACCAAACCCCTGCCCCCCGCACCAAGCCTCAAGCACTCTGAGGTTTTCTATACAACACATGCAATTCTCTCTCTCATATATTTCTCTATCCCTTTCCCACAGACAGCATCTGCATGCACCCTCTTTTTTCTTCTCCCTTCAGAGTTATGACTTTTTGGGCAATCCCAGCCACTTGTATTGTTTCTCACATCTGTAGCAAGGAGGTGATTTCCCAAACCCACAAGGACTCCATGTCCACTGTGCCTGTTCTTGCTGGTTCACAGAACCACATTCCCAAAGGTATTATCTGCGTCCAACAGTGCTTCCTTTTTGTAAAAGCAGTTCTCATTTACTGAACAAGGTTTTCCCCTGGAAGTTATACAGAAGAAACTATTCATTTTCTCATGTCTATGGGTGGGGGATTCCATCTCATGAACATATCACTCCCTGCTCTTATGCCCCTCTCTATCCATCCACAGACAGAAGAGCTTCCACAAGGTCAGAAGAACAAAAAGGTCTTTCTGCTTTGTCCGAGTAGGAACTGCAGTTGGTCTTTTCTTTTTCTGTTCCTTTCTGGGAAGGATTTGGAGAAGAAAAACCTGTACCCACAAGCTATATGGGCCAAGAGATGGGTTTCCTGGAAATTAAGTTCTCTCTACTATGGCAGATTGGATCAACAGTGCTCTATTACCATTTGTGAAGGGAAGGAGAGTAATTACACTAAGTTCCCTGGATAAGATTTCACAGGAGGTGTGTAGTTTAGAATAAGGCAATTACTTCTGTGAGCTGGAATTTAGCCATAGTTCAGAGGGATTTCTAATCAAACAAAACATTAGAATCAGTTTTTCCATCATCTCAGGTTCCAACATAAACTCCATACAACAATGAAATTCAGACTTCAGTCTGGAAACTGTTCTTTTAACTTGTTCTCCTTGTTATGCCTTAATGCTTTGTCCATATGTCAGTAACCTTTGGTTGGGGAACACACAGTTATGGGCCATTTGACCTTACATAGAGTGACACTGTTCCTACAAGCCCAGCAGGGCTACACCTCTTGCATCATTGACAGCTTCTTCCTCTGCTATTGTTTATCTCAGTATTTCTCTTGCTATAGGGACAAGTTGTGGGAAGAGGGATTAGGTAACTCCGCATTTAGGCTTTGGCAAGTCAAGGGACATGATTGATAGACTATTTAACCTCTTCCTAGGCTCAGAAGCCCTAAAGTCCTTCAAAGCTTGACAGATGGGCGTTTGGGAATGCTCATAGAGAACAGCATTGAGTTATCACAGAGGAGCAGCTTGACTGTAACATCTATGGGTTTTTTGTGGAGTTCTCATAATACAGCATCTATTATTTTCTGGTCTTTCCTTTTCCTTCCTTGGGCTTTCCCTTATTTTCCTAGTCTGTGCAAGGGTGGCGGGGGGAACAAAGCTGAGTTTGGAAACTTGACATCCTAAGAAGTTCAAGGCTAGTGCAGGCAACTCAATCACTGTGTAGCTTCCCAGCACCTTCAGGCACTGCAGACAGAGTAACAAAACCAGTATTTAAATGAATACATTTTGAAACAACATCTCTCTGCCCTAAGGCAGAGAAATCCCTGGTGAGTACAAGCATGTGTTGTCCATGGCGTGCCCATTCCACTGGTGCCTTTGCTGGTCAGGAGCATGTCAAACACTGTGAGAGTTGCTAGGTTTAAAATGGGCTCTCCTCCAGCTAGTTACGTGTTGTGTAAACAAGCGTCAGCAAGGGCTCCGTTAATGTCTTCTGAAGACATGGACGTGAGAGATATTTATAGGCCTTGGATTATATTGTCCTCCTTGCCTGTGCCGTCGTGCAGACAAGCGAAGGGCGTACGCGTGGAATTCCTTTCCTTGTGCCTCACGAGATCACTGCAAGCAAATGCCAACTAAAAAGCATCTCTAAATAGCTGTTACCCACTGCTCAGCCTACCACCCGGCACATGTATCCGTGAGATGAGAATCACTGGAGTTCCTTATAAGGTGATGGCAGAAGGAAGCGCAGCTCCCAGGGAAAGATCTTTGGACACTTCTCTTACCTCCTTCAACCATTAGTTTTCAAGGCAGAATTTCAACAGCTTTCCCCCTAAAGACAGTGGGAAGGTATCAATATAAGGGCTTGCTGCCTGTCTGTCTACCATGCTTAAGCCAC